TAATTCTTCACATATCTCGTCACCTTTATAACCTCCCATGTATTCTCATATCTTACACATCAATACAATATAATACAACACATTGTATTCATCTCTTTCTCTCTCTATTTTTATTTTTTATTTTATTTTATATTTAACACAACTAAGTCGCCCAGTTGCGGAAATGGAGGGAGCATACCTCTATGGAGATAGAGGATTTGGAAATGGAGGATGCTTAATGTGGAAATAGAGGATGCCTTTAAGAAAATTCTCTAAAATTATATTTCAGAAAATGACATCCTTGAACACTTATAACAAAGTCTGAGAGAGTTGCATGACTATTTTGAGAGAATTGGAGAACTAAATAATCCTGAAAGAAGCCTGTTGAATGGTTCCATCGTTAACTAAAAATCAATGACATTATTGGAACTTACTGTGGAAATAGAGGATGCCTTTAAGAAAATTCTCTAAAATTATATTTAAGAAAATGACATCCTTGAACACTTAGCTCGAAATTTGAAGGGTTGCAAAACTAAATGGTCCTGCTATAAGCTTGTTGAATGGTTCCATCTTTAACTAAAAATCAATTGCATTATTGGAAGTGGAAATGGAGGAAGCATACCTCTATGGAAATAGAGGATGTGGAAATGGAGGATGCTTACTGTGGAAATAAAGGATGCCTTTAAGAAAATTCTCTAAAATTACATTTCAGAAAATGCCCCATGGGCTTGTTATGTGTCCCTTTTGGGCCGTCTGGCCTATGGCCCTCCTTTGTAATTTTTTTCAATTAATTCAGTTGCTTTAAATTTCAAAAAAAAAAAAAAAAAAAAAAAAAAAAAAAAAAGTCTGAGAGGGTTGCAAAACTAAATGGTCTGCAAGAAGATGTTGAATGGTTCCGTCTTTAACTAAAAATCAATGGCATTAGACATTTCCAACATTACTATGTTTATGCAATATGCTTAATTTTAGAAAAGGAAATACTTTTAAATTTCTTTGGCATTGATAAGAAAATATCAAATAAAAGAAGAAAAAGACTTTAGGAAAATATAAGTTGTTTGTTCGAGATTTGGTCCATAAATGGACATGGTCTTCGCTATATATTTTTTGTCAACTATGATGGTGCCCGGCCTTCTAGAGAACTTTATAATCCACATATCATCATCAAATATGTGCAATTCTCCAGTTTCACATAAACTGAGCAATTACAGAGAAATTATCTGATGTTACCATATATTCTTACCATGTATTATTAGCATATACGGTAGAATATATTTTTACCATGTAATCATGTATAAGTTTACTATATAGGGCTTAGGTTTACCATATAAGGCTTAGGTTTACCATATAGGTTGTCATGCATAGGTTTACCATATAGGGTTTAGGTTTACTATATAAGGTGTATGTTTTCTTGTCCTTCACACATCTCGTCACCTATATAAACCCCCATCTCATATCTACACATCAATACAATACATTGTATCTCAACTCTTTATCTCTCTCTCTCTCTCTCTCTCACACAATCCTAAGTCAATGTCCTTCGCAGTCTAGTACAAATATATGGGAAGCGAAGCCTACTGTGGAAATAGAGAATGCCTTTAAGAAAATTCTGTAAAATTATATTCCAGAAAATGACATCCTTGAAGAAAATTCTCTAAAATTATATTCTAATATATTCCAGAAAATGACATCCTTAAGCTTGTTGAATGGTTCCAACTTTAACTAAAAATCAATGGCATTAGACTTTTTCAACATTGCTATGTTTATGCAATATGCTTAATTTTAAGTACATTGCATAATTTAAGTACCTCACTACCATCCCTTAAGGGTGAGTTAGTAGCTCAAACTCATTCACTACCTCTTTCTTTTTTTCTTTTTTTTTTTCTTTTTTTTTTCACTTTATAAATAAATAAATAAAAAATACTCACACATACTTACCCTCTTCAGTACCACTACCCTGTCCTGATCTCCTCCTTTGAAAAAGCAAAGTAATACTACTTGCAACAATGGCAACTGTTTACGCTTTTGTGAAGTACTAAAGGAGAAAACCACTAGGACATTTGATGCAGATGAGCTAATCTCTCCTTCCAGAAAGAGAAGATGAGAGTTCGATCCTGAATGAGACAATATTTGAGTATGTACTTTTGTTTAATATCCAAAATATATGTTAAAAGAAAAGATTAAAAACAAGAATAATCTTTGATATTATTTTATGTTATCTGCATAGTCCGTAGTCAGGGGCACGAGAAATTTAATTATTATAGTGCTCCTGCCCGCACCATGCCGGTTCTCTTACTAAGCAAGAAATGCCCCGTACAAATTTCTGAAATGATTTTCCAAAACAAACAAATTATAAATTCTTCATAAGACCAAAAAATCCCACTTTTGAAATGATTTTCCACTCAAATTTTCACTAATACTCTTACCAATTAGAAATAAAGTTTTACAATTGTAGTTTATATATTCTAAAATTGATAATGTAATATTATTATAATATAAAATTGTTTCAATGCAGGTGAATCTGGAAGTACAATTGATTCATCTGAATTGTCTTGTGTTTATCATAGATTTGTAAGTTTGTTGTTGCATGGCCGCTTCCTCAAAATTTCCTCACCAAGACCCCACATGGGCATGGACATGGTCATGTTCATTTATTTATGGACCCCACTGTAACATCGATTATGAAGGCATGTTGGCTCAGAGGTCGTCTTTGCGACTTCTACCCATCAACAACCTAGTAATTTCCTTCTCTATATATACTATCAACTTTTATCATTCTAATTTGAATAAAATACAATAAGATCCACTAAACCTTGTCTTAATTACATTTGACGAGCAAAACTATTTTAAAATTTGAATGACACTTATACTCAAACCACCCTTCTTCCTTATCTGCCTTTTAGGACCGTCAATGAATTTTTGTATTAAGTATGGATATGTAGTCGTATCCATATACTTGTAACAATTTCATAACGTAAGCAATTCCATATCAGAATTGCTTTTGTATCCATTGTTTCAAATACTTGCCATCCAAAAAGCAGTTAACCACCACATAATAAATAAAAGAAAAATAAGTCCCCAGTTGATACACAAAAAAAAGAGGAAAATGAAACGGTAGGGGGAGAAATTATATATATATATATATATATATATAATATTTCGAATTACATAGTTCCGATAACTCACAACTCGATATGAAAATAAACGTGAAATGCAAATACTATTGATGAAGCAATGTAAAGAGGCTTGAAAAGAGCAAATATATTGTTGGGTGCTCCCACTGTGAGTGTGTTTTATCCCTCTTTAGATTAAAAACATTCCCTTTTAACTCTCTAGTGAGGTGGTGTTATAAGTCGATTAATTTAATTGAGATTTGTTGTGCAATATCACGGGATACCTTGACTCGTAATAATCCTCCCAATCAGTACTCTCTCTCTCTCTCTATATATATACTTTAGGGTAAAGTGCAAAAAATCTTCTTCAACTATTGGCCATGTGCAATTAACCCCCTTGAATTACAATTTGCCCCCTTGAACTATTGAATTTGGTGCAATTGACCCCCAATGTGACATCTCCGGCCAATTGGTGTAAACGGAAATAGTAAAAGACAATTTTACCCTTTAAAAAAACTACGCCGTTTCAGTTGAAATTTCAACAACAAAAAGCGACGTTATCATCTAGGTCTGACATGGCAGGTGTAATCTGAGCAACCAGTTAAAAATTGACAACACACATAACCTTATCACCACATCTAAGACGTGGAGGGCGTAATCTCGCTTCACATCTATCCATCTATCCACGTCCTTCCAAACGGCTGAAACTCTGAAGAACCAAACGGCTGAAACTCGAGGAACTGAAGAAAGCTTTGTCTGTCTGAACGGATTTGCAATCTCTCAAGGGTTACTCAATCAGTAAAGCTCTTAACTTTAATACGTTAATTTGTAACTGTTGATGTAATATACATGATACGATTTTTCCTCTCAAAACAGTATACGATTTTTATCTTTTTATTTTAGGGTTTAGGTCTGTAAAATGTTGGATGGGTGTTTGAGTTTGGCCGACAGTGTGTGTGAATATATATATATATATATTGTTTTTTGTTTTGTCTGTTAGTATTTGTTTGTTTTATATATAAATGTCTTTGGGCCAATGTAACCAAAGATTTACTAAAAAATTACTTCAACAGCCTTTGACAACATTGGTACCAGTGACGTACATAGAAGTAGTAATACAAAACAGGGAATTCTAGGCTTCGACATTCACTTGACAAATGAAAATTTGATCAATTTATGGAATTTTTTTTTACCATAAAGCAGCTATTGGCCGCAAATATCACATGAATGGAAATTGTAGTATATAATGGAATTGCACCAATAACATGTGTAATGAATTGAAATTTCATTTGATTCAACAAAAGAGATGCATAGTATGACTAATTACACACACACACACACACACACACACACACACACATTATGGATTTAAATAATGATGAATAAGAAATGAAAGCCTCAGCAAGATTCTGCTATTTTGTTGCAGGCTTTAAGTCAGCCTTTTTTTTTTATGAAAAGAAAGTGATATGTGGAGTTTTTAATAATGTTGTAGCACTGAAAGTGATAGTGGTCCCTTTCTTTAATGATTAATTATTTTATATTGTTGAAAGCTATTCTTTCACTATGTTTCTGTCTAGTGGTCCTTTTGTTCTATAATTGACTATGTTTTATATTCACTATGGGTTCTATCGAGTGGTCCCTTTCTTCTATGATTGAATAGTCATTGTTTTGCTTTTATATCACTGTCTATAAAAGATTAAAGTGTCCACCTACCATTGAAAATGTTGTATGAGTTTAACTGTACCTTGTGATTGAGTGGTCCACATTATTGAGTTGTCATTAAATGTGTGTTTTCAGTTGTTGACTTTTTAAAAATATATTTGTTTGTTATTAATTGAAATTTGTTATTGTAGATGCACCTTTATAGCATTGAACTTCATCATGGGGGTGTTTTCACAAAAAACACCCCAAATGGCATACCTAGGAGAAGATAAATGCTTCATTGAAAGTGTAGATCCAGACATCATGTCTTATGATGATATTCAAGACATGGCTGACCAATTAGGGTATGGGGTGATTACTCAAGTATTTTACACAGTACCATATTTAGAGGGTAATCAGAAGTTCAGAGAAATCAAGTGTGATTTGGATGTATTGAGAATGTTCTATGCTTATGAAGCTCAAGGAGAAACCAACTCGATAACGTTGTACATTGTTGCACCTTTTTTGAATATGCAAGGGTATGAGGTTCCAATAGACATTGCTGAAAAAGAGGACTTAACTGATAATTTTGAACAACTGGAATCAAACTATGCTCCTAGTGATGAGTTAATTAGTCTATGTAGTTCTGATGATGAGGATAGTGGTCCTATGCAGCAAGAATATATGCCTTCAAGGGATTTAGGGGTTAAAGAATTAGAATTAGGCATGAAATTTGGGACTGCTGTAGATTTTAGATTGACAGTTAGGGAAACAGCATTGAAGAAAAGGTTTGATGTAAAGTTTATAAAGAATGATGGAGATAGGGTGAATGTAGTTTGTAAAAATGATTGTGGTTGGAAGATTTATGCCAGCAAACCAGAGGATGATGATTGTTTGATAGTGAAGACATATGTGAGTGAACATACAAACTGCCTTTGGTTTCAAACTAATTCACAAGCTTCGTCTTCTTACTTAGCTAATAAGTATTTAGAGCAGTTGAGATCAAACCCAAAGATGCCTCTTCAAACACTTAAGAGCACTATTGCTTGTGAGTTGAACATTGATGTGTCAGAACACAAAGTCAAAAGGGCTAAGAGAAAAGCATTGAAAGTTATTGAGGGAGATGAGGTAGAGCAGTATGGCAAGATGAGGGAGTACTGTTAGTTGATCCGTGCATCCAACCCTGGCAGTGTAGTTAAAATTCAAACTGAGCCCACATGTGAGGAGAATGTGAGGAAATTTCAAAGGGTTTTTATTTGTTATGCAGCAATGAAAAATGGTTTTAAAGAAGGTTGTAGGCCACTAATTGGTGTGGATGAGTGTTTTCTAAAGGGGCCATATGGTGGCCACATTCTCAGTGCAATAAGTATTGATGGGAATAACCAAATGTTCCCAGTAGCCTTTGCAGTAGTGGAATCTGAGACAAGGGATTCTTGGAGTTGGTTTATGACAGAGTTGATGGATGCTGTGGGGCCTTATGAGGATATCACATTCATATCTGATAGGCAAAAGGTTAGTATTTGATATACACACTTATGAAACTATTTATTTTCAATATATATTTGTTGAACTGTATTTGATATACATATTTACTATTTTATTGTTAATGCAGGGTTTGGTAGACACCTTTGAGAATATCATGGTTGGTTCAAAACACAGATATTGTGTGAGACATCTCTATGAGAACTTTAAACTGAGGTTTAAAGGGCAGCAACTAAAAATTGAATTATGGGAGGCTGCAAGGTCATGTACAGAAGCAGATTTTAATGCACATATGAGGAAGATACATGAGTTAAATGTGGAAGCTTATAGATGGCTTCATAATGTGCCATCTGAATTATGGTCAAAGTCAGGCTTCTCATACCAGTCAAAAAGTGATATGGTGATCAATAACATGTGTGAAAGTTGGAATGCAGTAATTCTTAAAGCAAGGGATAAACCAATTATGTACATGTTGGAGTGGATTAGAAGGCATTTAATGTTGAGGTTCCAACAAAAGAGATAATGGATGGAATCAAGGGATGGCTTATTGTGTCTAGAAGTTCAAAAAAATTTGAACAAAGTGAAAAACATGGCAAGGATGTGTAAGGTGCACTATGCTGGTGATGACAAGTATGAGGTTCAGTGCTTTGGTATAAGTGAGGCAGTTGATATTGGGAAGAAAAGTTGCAGCTGTAGGATATGGGATTTAACTGGTATACCTTGTAAGCATGTTGTAGCATGCACATTTTTAAGGAAAGAGGTACCTGAGTCCTATGTGGATCCATACTATCACAGGGAAACATATCTGAAGGCATATGGTGGTTTAATCCATCGTTTTCCAATGAGAAAGTTGATAAAATCAGTACCCCTTAATCCATTGTTGCCACTAACCTACAAGAAACCCACTGGTAGACCCAAAAAGGCTAGGAACAAGAACAATGATGAGCCCAGTACTTCAACTAAGCTCAGCAGGTCAAAGGAAAATTTGAAATGTTCAAAGTGTAGAGAAAAAGGTCACAACTCAAGGACTTGCAAATTAGCTGCACCTTTGGTCATTGAGAAACCTCCACCAAGAAGGGGAGGTAGACCACCACTACTTGGAAGAGGAAGAGGTATTACAGTGAGAGGAAGAGATATTGCAGTGAAAAGAACATGGAGGGCAAGGAGGGGTGGAAGAGGAAGAGTTGCTGGAAGTGAAATCCTAACTTTAGTACCTTCAAACCAGAGTCAACAGGTACACTTGCAAATCCCTACTTTATTATTATTATTATTATTATTTTGCTACTATTTTCTACTTGCTACTTTATTTGCAAATCTCCTCACTTGTGTATGTTATTGATGATAGGTTCAAAATATTCCATTTTCTCAGCTCACATCAACACAAGCATCATCTTTTAGGTTAATGATGGACAATGACTATGCCTGTTGGTAGTGAAGGTGTTTGCAGCTTTTTGGGGGTTCATAGTACTGAACTGTTGCTGGTTTTTGTTGACATGAAGAACTTAACAATGTTTTTTGTTGGCTAATTGTAACTGTTGACATGAAGAACCTTACAACCTTAATGTTCTGTTTGCTAAATACTATTGGTAGGCAGAAACATTTAGCTTATAATGCTACTTTGGTTGTGTAATAAAAGTTCAGTACCTTTTCTTATTACATATGTTCAGGTATTATACACTGTGAGTTGTCATTATACATGTCCAGGTATTATGCTTTTTTGTTTGTTTTAGAGTTAATTACTGTAGTGGCAGATTTTGAAGGTTGAAATGCTATAAGAGTTGAAAAAATTATGCTCTCAATCAAGTCCTTATGGAAATATGAGATTTTAACTGAGATGTTAATCTATGCTTCCTACTTGTGAGACTAAAAAATAATTTAATTTAATTTAATTTATTTATTTATTTTTTGCCATCAAATGGGGATATGCTTTCAGTTGATCTACAGGCTCAACAAAGTACTTTTTGTGGAATCCGTGGTGTTGCGAAATCATTTTATGTTGGTAATTACACGGATAGCTTAGTCTTGCTCAACAAAGGAATTGGATTGTTTGGGGATGCAAATACAGTCTCGTGATGTTGTTACTTCAAGGATGGAGGAGTTGCAAGAACCAGGAAATCTTATAGTAATTTACAGTATCCATAATCTTCATACTACAACAACAAATTCAGTGAATTTGCTTAACAACTCCTAACACAAAATGAAAGTATACCAAAACAAAAGACAACCTTACTAACTCCCAGCACAAACTTTTCACTTAAGAACAAGAGCAATAATTAAAACTACAAAACACAACCCAAAAAAAACCATGCTTAACTTCAACATTCCCTTTACAATTGTAATGAACTCTGCATTCATCTCTGCATTTAGAAGGATCTGATTATTTCCAAAACTTGGTGCATGAGCAAGACGAGCTGGTACAACTTCATCTTCGTGCAATCCATTATTCCCAGAAGCATCTTCGTGCAATCCATTATTCCTAGAACCAGGTGCAATCCACCATTCCCAAAACGTGCAATCACCAGTACTGCACTTGAAAAATAGCTTTCCCAGATTGTTTTTGAAGTCAGAAATGTATACAGAACACTTGATACCACAAAAGCATTTCATATTCTTTAAATGGACTTCATCTTCAGCTTGTGCACCAGGTGGAATCCGCCATTCCCAAAACTTGCAACGACGTGTACTGCACTTGAAAAATAGCTTTCCCGGATTATTTTTGGACTCAGAAATGTATACAGAAGAGTTGATACCACAACCATATTTCCTATTCTTGAAAGGACCTCTACGAATTCCATTGCTGAAAGAGGATTCACCCATGGAGCTCATTATTTGCAAAAAAAAAAAAAAAAAAAAAAAAACAAAGAGACGATTGCAAAACTTCAAAGCAAAGGTGAAGAGATTGGCTCGGAGCTCCTCAACACGATCACTCAATCGAAGATCTCAATCCCAATCTTCTCCAAAAATTACGCTTCCAGTAAATGGTGCCTTCGCGAGCTCGCGAAACCTCTGTGTAACAGCACCTAATTTGAGCCGAATAGGATAAAAATTTGTTGTCTTACCACTAACAAACAATTTGTTAGGAGCAAAAAATCAATAAATAATAACAAAGAATAGACAGATCCAGCCACTTTTAACAATCTTGAATTGCTAAATATTAGAAAAAGATACATACACGCATATATATATATATATATATATATATATATACAACGAAATGAAAGTCAATTTGTGAATAAAGTTAAGAGTTTGATACTCTCACCTATGCAAAACCTTGTTGAAGCGATTAGAGAGAGAGAACGCAGCGAAGATTGTAAGAAATCTCTCTTCGTGATTATTTTAAATTTTCTTAAAATAAAAATTTAAGAAAAAGGGTAAACTCTATAGAACGAGAGCTGTTTTGATGAAACTATTGTTAAAGATTGGAGGGAGGCTGATCGAGGAAGATAAAGACTCAATAGCTGTTCTGATGAAACTATTGTTAGAGATTGGAGGGACGCTGATCGAGGAAGATAAAGACTCGATTTAGGGTTTCTGACCACATAACTAAGGCAGTGTTTGGTTAGGATTTAACGGTAATAAAAGGGGTATTATGGTCTTTTAGCTTCATAAGGGGTTGTATGGTCATTTAGAGAAATTTGTACAGTCACGTGACCCATCATGTGCGTCTTCAAGGTCAAATTCAACTGGCGTATCACCGGACGAGGTAAATTCAACTGGCGTATCACCGGACGAGGTAAATTGCACCAAATTCGTTAGTTCAGGGGGGTTATATGTCAAATTAGTAGATCAGGGGGGTTAATTGTACATGGCCAATAGTTGAAGAGGGTTTTTTGCACTTTAGCCTATACTTTATTGAGAATGAAGAAGTGAAAAGTTTCAAAATAAATGAGAAGCATTAATACCCAGAGGGCTGGGGTACTGTAGAAATTTTCCTTGTAATGACTATTTTCGGTGCGAGGCGATACTTTTGTGCTCTGCTTGACCTGAGTTTTGTCTAGGCTTTTTGTTATTTATGGCCTTGAGAAAAAAAAAAAGCCAATTGATGGGTGCTTTCAGTGTGAAGAAGATGTCAACATCGGACTCCCCACACAACAAGTTATGGTAGAATATATATGGAAATTTATCGGAAGAGAAGAAAATGTATGTGGCTATGAATTTACATCAATGTTTTTTCTCTCAAAATAAGTGAAGTCTATGCTTGACTTGTATAATCTTAGCATGTGGAGCTTTGAAGACTTTGAATACTAGTATTAGAGGTGGTAAATGGGCGGGTTATGTCGGGTTTGGGTTTGATTGAAAATTGACGTGTCAAGGCTTTTTGTTGTTTATGGCCTTGAGGAAACAAAAAAGGCCAATTGCTGGGTGTTTTCAGTGTGAACATCTGAACAAGATTGGAGAGCCTCATTGCCAAAGAGGTCTCAATAAATCAGTTCTACTTTTCAGCTTGACCTAACCTTAGTTGTTTAGTAAATACATTTATTTCGGTAAGTCTATTTATATATATATATATAGGACAAATTAGAAGAAAAGAGACTCGAACACAAGTTAGACGATCTACTAATTAGGTCAATAGGTTATGCCCGTCTCTTACACGTCTTACATGTCTCTTAATATCAATAAGAAGACATTGACATAATTACAATTATTTAAGTTAAGATATGTTTTTGTTTATAGTCTTCAGAAAAAACCAATTGATGCGTGCTCTCAGTGTGAAGATCTCAACATTGGACTCCCTACACAACAAAATAAGGTAGAATATATAGGGAAATTTATCAGAAGAAGAAAATGTATGTGGCTATGGTTTATTTTATGAAACTGAAATGAATGTTTTTCCTCCCAAAATAATTGAAGTCTTTGCTTGACTCGTTCAATCTTAGCATGTGGAGAACAATTGATATGACATGATGGCACGATGCTCCATACATTAACAAAATCAATTAATTTCGTAACATTACCAATAAATGTTATGCTAATTAACGAAAATACTATATAATACGATAATGTAGCAGAATTATATAAATAATACGATTACATAGCAATGCCAAAACACAAATACATTACTGGAATCAGTTCAGATTCATTTTACACAACAATTTCATCCCTTGGCCAGTGGATTAGAGCAGTTGAAAACTTTCCCAAATTATAGGCCTAACTGATTAAAATAATTGTAAAAATTAGAAAATATTTCAAAATTATGTTTCCTTAACAGGTTTTTAAAATTTGGATTCTAAAAATCGAGTTAAAAAAAAATAATAATAATTCAGGTCTTGTTCGTTCGTTATTTTAAAAGCAATTTTCAACAACTTTGAAACATAAAACATTTTCCAAATATTATAAAAGGCTAGTTTATGATATTAGGCTTTTTCTGATCTTTAACTTGTAGAAAATTAGTTAACCACGTAAAGTCTTTACTTTCAAACGATCACTTTTAATATTTTCTTAACACTACTGAAGATGCTACCATCCATGCAAACTAGCTGAGACATAATACACACACCTAGAGAAAGATAGATTGAGTGAATCGGAGAAGACGGGGCTGTAACGACCCACTTCATCACATAGTATAATATTGTCTATTTTGGACCTGAGCTCGCACGGTTTTGTTATTGGGCTTCACCCCAAAAGGCCTCATACTAATTGGAGATGACACATTTACATATAAGCACTTCACCTTTTCTCTACCCAGGCGATGTGGGACTGTGCATCCGTAGCTCGCCAGTGTGGTAGCCTGACAGTGTCTTTCGCACCTGCCCATGGCACACCCGCCCACAAGGTCTTCACAAGGGCGGTTGCGACGACTTTTAAATCCGGCAGTGGCTCTGAAAGGGTATTATTTTCTTCGTGTGTATGTATTTGTATGGTGTGTTTTTGCATTTCATTTTTTGAAATATACTCATTCATTTTTGGAATTTTTTTTCTTGCTATAATTGATAAAAATTGCCTAGCTAATACTTGATTTTTTTATTCTTAGGAATATTGATGTTATTTTACTTAAAAATGGAGTACATTTACCTAAAAAAAAAAAAACCAAAACAAAAAAGGTGTGAATATCCATTCCCTGCAAGGCGCCCCCTCCACACTTGGGTAAAACTCGAGTTTTTCACTCCCCGAAGCACATCTCCAATAAATAATATAATCTAATTTTTTTAAATATTTAAAATAAAAGAACACTTTTTAAATGTGAATCATCTTACCAAAGGCTTTGTAGGGGCAAAGTGAGCGTGTGAATGTGTTTTTTGTCATGAATTTTTTTTTTTTTTTCCTTCCTTTTAGATAGGTATTTAGCTTGAACTTGTCCTGTAGATTGTGTCTTAGTCTTCATTTCAACTTGACTTCGGTTCAAAAATACTTATATATTTGGAAATTTTTTACAATAAATTTTTTAATATCGAAGGTTGTATAGTATGCTGATAAAAAATCCGTTTATTTTGAATTTCGATACACTCCTGATATTCTTTATCGATAAATGACAATAAACAAATCTTTGATCAAATACTCTTTTAAATTAATTTATAAATATTTACCTTTACACTCTAACTTTTTGGCATGCCTTGATATTTGATTAGCTAGCTTTTTAATCACTACGTTTCAGTTTTTAATTAATTAGTGATATTAAAGTATTTGTTATTTGATCACCAGAAAATTGGAACTGTTGCTCCTGGCTGTTGCATTATGTGAGGGGTCTAGTCCTTCATTGCAACTATTCAACTTACAAGTATTTTAGAAATTTAAGATCTAAAATCTAGTTTAATATTTATATCTAAAGATTGAGATAAATATTATGGAATACTAATCTACCAACAAGTCAATTTGTCATGTGAGTTTTGTATCCTTGTTTCTATGTATTGAATTCTATTTTTAATGGAATGAGTATTGTATTTGCTTCTGTTAAGTCATAACTGTGATGGATGACTTATTTTATTTTGTTTTATTTTTTATTTTTTATACTTATGTTTTATTATTATTATTTTTTTTTTTCGTACCCAAAACCATATATTAGACTGAGACATTTGAGATATTGTCTCAATTTTCTTTAATTTTTTCGTAAATGGGGTGATATAACATAAAGAACAATAGAGTACGAAGCAAAAGCAGAGGGCATACCCCATGTTACAAATCATAAAGACACAGGAAAATGCCCATTTCCAATAAAGGTCAAAAACCAAAGTCTATTGTTATTTTATATTTTTTATTTATTGTAATGTTACAACATTACAATAAAAAAAAAAATTAAAATAGAACCAGATCATTGAAATAAATATATTTTTACTCCCAACACATGATATAATGAGTCCTAATAATCAATATTTAGTCAATGACTTCCCTACCTAATAATAGACACATTTATTTCAAGCAGACTTCCTTACCAAATTAGTAATAAATACTTTCATAATGACTAAGAAAAAGGGTCAGAACTGACAAATCTAGCAGAGGACTCACTTTTTTTTTTTTTTTTGGTAAAGCAAACACACACAGACTTTTTTACCCACATCCGGACTCGAACCCCTCCCCTCTTCTTTGAAAATGAGGAGGTCATACCATTAGGCCAAAGACCCTTTGGTAGCACAGAAGACTCACTTGTTCACAAGTGACGCAGAAGACTCACTTGTGAACATGATTTTATATATTTTATTTTTACATAAACCAAGCCGCGTAACTGATTGATTATATATCTATAAAGATATCAGTGTTACACTATGAAAAGATGCAGATGCCTTAACAGCCCAGTGATTAGTGTCTTCGGTAAATTTTGGGAGTGCCAATCCCCATGTACTATCTTACACCATTGAATGTTATTGGTCCCATGTAGGCCTCATGTACAATAATAATGATCAATATCTACTTCATTCAATGAATGAGATCATAATTACAGCGTGTGTCCCTTAATAATAATAACAAGACATTGACGCAATTGCAGTCATCTTGTAGCATCCGACAATCTCCTTAATTAGTCATAAGCTTAGAACTTTTGCTAGCTATTATAGTTGTGCATAATAATACGAAGATTCACAAAATCATACAATAATTCATATATGGATTTAAGTAATTTTTTTGTACCAATACCTTCAAGCATTCATTCAATGATAAAACAAGTCTGTTGAAGGATCTAAATAAACTAGTGACATTATATCGCGCAACCAATTATTTCATTTCAAGGGAGTGAGAAAGATCTCAAAAAATTAGCTAATTATATCATGTCTCAGGAGTAAAAAAATAGTGATACTATATCACGGAACCAAAAAAAAATTATATTCCCTCCGTCCCATAAAAAGTGTCACTTTTAGGGAACCGTGACTCTCACAAATTGAACTAACACGGTTCCCGAAACATGACACTATTTTTGGGACGGAAGTAGTATCACTTTTGATGAAGGTAAAAATTGTGATACTATATATATATATATATATAATTTAACTCGGAACTCCCCTGGGCAAGGCCCTTTGGACCCACCCCAAGTTACAAAATTGAGGATGCCGCGACCAGCCCACAACGATAACACTGTTAAACCAGACATCATAACGAGAGTATTGAAGTTCGAAACACCTGAACATATCGTGATATTATATTATGGATCCAATTATATCATGTTTCATGAATAAAAGTATATTTATTTTAATAACTCATATAATTACGTGTCAATATTTAAATAATGTTTCATGAATAAAAATATATTTATTTTAGTAAGTCATATAATTAGGTGTCAATATTTAATCCATCAGGCAGACTTCTTTACCTAGTACTGATTATATCAAGCGGACATCCTTAGCTAATAATAGATACATTTATTTCAATAAGTCAGTCAATGCAATGACTAAGAACAAAGGGTCCAACCGCAAAAATCTATTGGAATTTTTTTTAGATATCGTCGTCTCTACACGAGTGGCTCACCGTCGTTTTAGGATTAAATTTTCTCCTTATTAAGTTATTGTTGATTTCGTTCTTCAGAAATAAGAGTTGTCCACGAATGCAATTGGCCCCATGTAAGCCTCACTTACATCAATCATCCCAATCTTTTTTATTTTTTATTTATTTTTTTTCTTGGCTAAAACGAGATAATTACATAGACGTAGAAACAAGAGTACAAACATCCAGACATAACATTGGGCACAGGCAAACACGTGCAAAAATAGAATGACCCAATAGAGACATAAAGCCCTCAAAAGCCCAAAGGAGCAACATCGGCATGACGCCAAAGGAAATCACCACCACCAAAAAACCACCATAAACGGAGGACACCGTGAGATCAATACTGCAGTCCCGGCGACCAAGATGACAACGATGAATAATTGTCCAGCAAAGGAACTTTACAATTAAAAGCACGATCATACGAAATTCATAAAGGAGCCGGGGTTTCCATGAAGGAATTATTCAGATGGCTCCCAATAGTGCAACTAGAATATAGACTGTTAAACTCCAGATTGGAGGAATCAGCAACACCGCCGTCACAAGCTTCACCTTTTTTTTCTTTAATTCACTTCACTTTTTTTTTTTTAACCAAATGAGAAATTATCTCACGTACTAGGATTAGAATTTGGGTCATTATACTGATGTCTCTTGAAGTTAGGACAAATTACGCAGAAATAGACCGTTTAACATTTCTTACTTTTAACCCCCTAAACCCAATTATACTATGAAATTTTTCTTCAATTAACTTCCACCTTCTTCTTCTTTCTCTCTCTTTCTTTTTTTTTTTTTTTTTTTTAACTTTTTATTTCCATCATTAATTTCTTCTAACCAAACGAAATTTATCTCACGTACTAGGATTAGAATTTGGGTCATTATACTGACATCGCCGTTTAACATTTCTCAGTTTTAACCCCCTAAACCCAATTAGCCGATGACCGAAAAGTAACTTTGACTTAAACTCAGTAATGCATTTATATTATAATAATATATTATAAATAGAACCTCAAGTGTCTACCATGTTACCTTCTTCACCACCCCTTTAATGTAGACAATTGAGTTGGACGCACTCATCAAACTGGAAATTCAACATATCTGCAAACAGAGGAGCTGGGTTCCCGCCAGATAAAGATTTAGTATACTTTTTGATAAAGAAATGTTGTTTCTATATTCAAGTGATTGAACGTGGATGAGGCTTCTATTAACTACACTCTTGACAATCTGTAAATCGACAAGAAACTCATGATCGCGCGGTATCGTCATATATGCAGAACAACTTAAGCATGAAGACACCATTTCCACAAACTTGATCCATGGTAATGTATAGCTTAGAAAAAATATTACGGATGACAATAAAATAAGAAGATGAATTAATTTGAGGGTAATTGAGAAAATTTTCACATGCTACATAATTTGGAGCTTCATCTAAATCCCAAGTCAGACCAATACAATTTCTATCTGTAATTAGAAACGACAGTTGAAACACAAACAGAAAAATCTATCAAGAAAACCCATCCACTACCAAGTATCAGTAGTACATTTAGTAGCTATCTTCATCAATTCTTCCATGAACTGTAATCAAAACAAGTCCATTTCCTAGTAAATGTGTGTGTGTGTGTGATAAGCTATTAGCACTGGATAGATGCAACTACATAATAAAATTTGATAAACAGTAGAGACAAGTCTGTATAACACTGAAAAACTGATGTCTCATAAGAATAAATGCATACAAATTTCTTAATTCAGAAACATAGACAAAAGCCACAAGGAGGTTAAACGTACCATGGTTAGTGAATTCCTTTAGTAATTAATTGGCATTAGTAGTACTCAACCAAGGCGAAGATTGTTGAGTCCAAATCCACCTCCATTGCCTATCCTAACTATTCGATTTTATGATGCTACTTCCGATTCTATACTTCCTCAATAATTTTGGATAAAATCGATCGGGCCCCGTTCGGGGCACTTTTAGGGTTTTAGTCTCTGTTTGGGATGTAGTATATTAGAACTTCCATTTCTGAAAGCCAAGCTCGAAGGTATCAAGCAATAGGAATTTATGTGACCCATGAGTTTAGAATCTTTACCGAACTATTGCCTCATCCCAATTTCAAGATAATCCATGCATGTGACCTGCTACCATGCATGTGAAGCTCCAGCTCACTACCATTTATACACGACGTTTCTTTGGTTTTCGGCATCCATTATGGGGAATTCGCGTTGTGTCCTCAATGTATACGATTGGATTCTGATCTCCTCGACCATAGGTATAGCCCTCCCGGAAGCTCAAGATTGCTTGCTTTTTCTTCTTAAAATAAGTAAACCCACTCACTTTTACAACAACCGACTTTACTCCCATACTCCTTGCGATTCGTCCAACCTGTTCTGCAGTTGCCTCACCAGAAAATCGACCCGATGATTTAGTACCTTCTTTCTGTTCCAATAATCCTACAGTAGACTTGGCCTTTGTGTTACCCTTAGAATCAGTCAGAGTAACAAAGGTATTGTTGCGCAATATCTTGATATGGACAATGTCTGCATTTTGATCAGCATGATTTCGAGGATCCCCAGTGCCGTCCTTCGCATCTTCATCTATAATTCCTCTCACGAAGTCCATGGATCTAGTATTCTTGCCCATCTCAACTTCCTTCCGACTCTCAGAATGTATAAAACTTCTAAAACTCACAGCAGATGGTGGAAAGACATTCTCCTTTGCTTTCATAAAACCCAACTTCATACCAAAATCTCCCAAAAAATGGGATCCAGCTTTTGAATCTCCTCCCACCACATCAGAAGCATGATGACGAGAGCCACCTTTCAATTTCTCTACACAACCTGCAAATGCCAGGCATATTCTATAAATAACAATGATAATACTACAGTTAAGCAGACACATTATATAATTTGGTAGTTATCCACTTTTTTTTCACCATTTGTTTACGTAAGGTTTCTCAATAAACCTATTAGCTTCAAAACTGTTTCTCACACATGCACACACATGCACAACCTTTTCTCATCCTCTACATTACTGCCCATAAGACAATGTTAATGGAAGATTCCCACTAATCCCTTTCATTCAGGAAAACACACATTATATTACACCCAACAATCAATTATTTTCATTAGTGAACTAAATTGACATGGAAAACATTTACTATGGTGGAGCCAATAGGGGCAATTCTTGGGTTGATTTGTCATCTCATTTAAGAGCCCAATTTAACCATATATTGGAAATGAAATCCAACCACCTGATATACATAGATATATAAGACATTTTATTTGAAATATATACTTGCTTAGATATATAAAGACATTAATCGTATGAAGTTAGCAAACTGTGGCAGAGTATTAAGTTATGGTGGGGTATCTAATAAATGACAATTAACTCCCTAAATGTTGATCACATACCAACAACAAAGCCGCCTCTATTTTGATCATCGTTGGGGTTGGCAGATTGAAAGTTCGCAATCACACACAAAAAATTGATTTACCAGAAGAAAGAGGGTGTGAGGCTCAGTCCCATTTTTCATTTTTCTGTTATTTTTAATTTTTTTTAAAAATTTTTGGGTAATCGGGTTTTCGATGTGTAGGGAAACGTGCCATGGGTTCCCGAGATTTATTTTGACCAATTGTTCGAGTTTAAAACTCTTAGAAATTTATTTTGGACCTTTCTACTTATTTTGGATTTTCGGGCTCGGGAGGTCCTGTGTAGGTACGGGGTCGGGGGTCGGGTTTTCGTACTCGTGAATTTCCCCGAGTTTATTTCATCACCTTTTTTTTTATTTTTTATATTGGTATGTTTAATTTCCTTGTATGACTAAGGGTGGTATGTATGTCCATGTGATTGTGTTAGTAATGTCAAGGGTAAAGAAGGAATTTGGACAAATTTTTAGCACTTAGGCCCCACCATTGCACTAGTAGTATAAAAGAGGAGATTAGATATTCTGGAGGACATTTTCCTCCCATTTCCAGCCGTGAGAGTCTCTCTAGTTTCTTCTATTTCTTCTCTTTTTCCTTTTCACCTCATTTTGGAAGCTTAAAACAAGGATTTGATCTAGTTGTCCTTAGATTTTGGGGAAGTAATAATTGGAAAAGTTGGATAGCTTCTCAAGATCTATCCTCTGGTGGTATTTATTTTTAGTTTGGTGCACACTCATCCTTGGGCTGAAATTAGGGCTTTTCTTCTAAATGAGGTAGGGGTGTTTAACTAGCATTTTCTCTTGCTATATAAGTAATTTATGTGAATTCTTTGAATTAAGCATGCTTGTGTAAGTCAATTTTGTTTCAATTGCATGTAATTATGCTTATATATGACGATGCCTTAGCTAAAACTTCAGAAAAAGATTATGAATAATGGATTAAGTGTTCTTAAAGTTGAAATTGAACCATAACAAGTATGAATGTAGTAAATGGGGTTGTTTGAATGAAATTTTAAAGGGGCTGTTTGGCTTATTTTAAGGGATTGTTTGGTTGATTTTAAGGGGCTGTTTAACTGAATTTTAAAAGGGCTGTTTTGGCTTATCTAAAGGGTTGTTTGGTTGATTTAAGGGACTATATTGTTTATTGTTAAAGGACTGTTTTTGTTGATTTTAAGACAGCTGTAGCATGTGTAAATAAGGTAAATGGACTGTTTAAATGAATTTTATAAGGAGTTGTATTGCTCCAATTGCTACGAAAATTTTAGCACAGGTTCTTATACCTGTCTAGTACCTCTCAAAAAAAATTTACAATTTTTGCACTGGTAGTTATTTCTATAAAAATTCGGGAATAGCTGCTATACAGTTATCCCAGTTTGAAAACTGAATTTTGAGAAAGTTTACGAATTTTATTTTTAGAGGTTGTGTTGCTCCAAGCCTCCAAATACAACAAAATTTTTACAGTAACTTCTAATGTGAGTTTTCTACTCCTCGTAAAAATTTAATGATTTTTGGCAATGTAATTATTTTTTTAAAAAATCCGACATTTCCTGCTGTTTGTCTTTTTATTGCTGCTGGAAAATAGATTTTGGATAATTTATTAGACTAACACATTGATACCGGATCATGGAAAAACTTACTAGTTTTATACTCCCATATGTCTACCTTCAAAATAAATTTAGTTTGCCCAATTTGGATGTCAAACAAATAGTAGTTGGGAGTTAACCCTTTGCCGGTGGTGCTAGCTAGTTAATAGGGACACGGGAGGTACCCGTGAGTAATTTATAATTTGTAATTTGAATTAAACTCTTTAAATAATTTTTACGTAATTATTTGTTTATAAAAACTCTTTTTTTATATTAATAAATAAATACTGAAAAACTGAAATTCTACACTTGATCTTAAAGGTTAGTCAAAAGGTCGAGAAAAGTATGATTAACATTTCTTTAAGTTTATAGTTTTATAAGAGGCTTCCACCTAATCCGTTTTAACTCAAAATCAAAAGACCGAGAAAGATGTGACTCTCTAACAGATACTTCTAAAATAATAGATTCATTCTTCAAAGACTTGGAATAAATTTCCAGTAGATTAACGTCACCTTCAATTATTGGAAAAAACAAAACCATATGTGGGGATTATAAAAGTCGGGCTCGTTTAGTTCACACTGCATCCAATCCCATACAGCAAATAAAAAGGCACCAAATGGCCGCCGGTTGCTGTCATGAACTCAACCACCGGACATCCAATCCCATTCAGCAAATCGTAAACTATTCATAGTCTTAATTAATTGATTACAAGGACATACATGTCCATTGACGTACGGGAATGGCATCTCACAAACCGTACATTTAAAAATTATAAATAATATATGCACGGAAAGCTTATGAAATAAGGATTCCAAAAATATATGATTTGTATAATAAACCTTCATAACCAGAGAAAAATAGGTAATCTAAAAATCTACTCTAACAATCTTATTTTATTTTTTAAAAATAAAATAGTCAAGATATTTACAAGAAAATTTTTAGAATCGTTCATTTACATATGGAGCCAAATATATAAAAATTTTAGCCCCAACAGAAATCGAATTCATAGGATATCATATTTTGCGTCAAAGCATTTTCATTCTTTTATAAACTCACCATTTTAAAAAAAGTAAAAATAAATATTCGGTTCGGGCCCCAAATAGTAGTTGGGAGTTACCCTTTGCCAGGGACGATTAACAAATTCTCCCTAGGGACTGCAGAGGTACCAAGGTCCGGCTACGTAGCACGTTTTCGGTTGTTTGTGTGGGAGTGGGTTAGTGTGAGTTGTGTGTGGGGCCATGATGCATAAGCATGCAGTCTAGAATATCACTGAATGGTGTTTTTCCTTGGATCTTTCTATGTTTAATTTGAATGCGATAGTATATGCCAACTACTTAAAATTTTCTTAACTAGTATAATCAAACGTGAAAACCTACAAATCTAAATTCCAAGCACGATCTCTTAGCCGTGTTAGCGTGTTTCAATAAATGTTGTTATTTAAAAACTTGTTGAAGCATGTATCTATAGGGTTATGGTAACTTGGAGCATGATTAATTTGTCTAGCGTGTATCATTTGTTTCTGTGTTTACTTGAGCATAACTTGTATGGCTTTAGGAGGTGTTGGTTGGTCACCATCTACTGAGCAATATACGCTCACCCCGTTGTCATAAACATTTCAGGAAATTGACTTTCTATAGAAGATATGCCTCAACCGCAGCCTTGAAGTATCTCATCGAAGTTTGCTTGGACGTATATTGGTGTCGCTAGCATGTTGATGTAGTAGTTTTGTTAAACTTGATTACCATGTAGACAATGAGATTTATGATGTAATTGAGATTATCAATATAATTGGAGTGGTTGAAATTTCCGGGGCATCGTGGAAATTTTTTGATGTACATAAGGAACTTTTTTGACGTAATCTTTTGGAGTTGAAATTTATGGGTCGTTACAGAGGGTATATGGCAGGGCTTGAAAGGTGCCAAAAGGGAGCCTAGGAAATAATCTGTTGAGAAATGTGCACTAACTATTAATTCAGCTTTTGTATTGGAAATTTGGGGAAAGAGAGGAAAATCAGGAATTTGTTTCAGGTTTATTCAGACAAAAATGTGAAGATATCAATTGGGACTAAATCAGGATAATATAATTGTACATAAAATTACTCAAATTTTGATAAGCATCTTCCTTTTCTATTTTGTCCAGAAAAATCAATGAAGCTAGTGCTTTATCCCAACTAATTGGACTGAAAGTATAATTCTTTTTCTGTTAAGGTACAGGAAAAAGTGAAAATCTAGATTGCTAAATATGAATCAAAATTTAGCAGTACTAGAAGGTTGGGCATGCTGAAAAAATTCCCTTAAAAATTTACAAATTAAATCCTTCAATCGTTCAAATTTGAAAATGAAATGGACATATAATATATTCACCAATTACCTATCTAGGGTTTCTTGAGAATCTCATTCATTTCGGCAGTAAGAAACCATTTAGATCCTTCAAAATTAACCAAATAGAGCATAAGCAAATATACAACTCACTCTCAAGAAAATTTTCCAGCAACATTTCTCTATCGAAACAAACGGAACGAAACCCAAAACAGGATATACATACATATATATATATAAGTTAAACGAAACAGTAACTTGCCTGGGAAAGCATCGGAGTGTTGTGAGCTGTGAGGGAGAGACTTCGCTGAGAGATGATGAGAGTTATTGGACGCACACAAGAGCGCATTGAAGGGGCGATCAGAAATGGGATCGAAGATCCGAAGAGCTTGATTGAAAAGACTGGCCTGGCCAGAGGATCGAAAGATGGATCGTTGGGCGATCATGGGTCTTCTTAGATTAGGGTTTTGGTGGTTTTTGGATTTTTGCTTCTGAAGCAGCAGGATGAAACTCTCTCTCTCTAATTCCTGACACACGTTCTCCACTTCACTTTCTCTCTCTAAAGAGTGAGCTGCTGAGGGAAGCTCTCTGCCGTTGTTATCGAAGATATTGCTCTCTGAGTAATCTAGTGGGAGGAGGAAGAAGCTAGGGTTTTGCTCAATCCTCTTTCTCAATCCCTTCCTTTCTCTATATGCCTTTATATATGTGTGTGTGTAATATACTTTGGAATGCAGATTGCACAGTGAGAGAGAGACGGGAATATAAACGAAACAGTAGGGCTTGAAGTCGAGTAGAAATTGGGTTTGTTCTATGGGTGGGCTGCGATTCGGGCGGGTTGGAGGTTCAAAACCATTTTTTTCTTTTTTCTTTAGCCATTCAAAAACGTAACTTATGTTGCTTTAACTCTTTTCGAACCCGAATTTTCAATTTGGACTGAAATTTTGATTTGAAAATCTAAATTATATTTTGTTTATTTATTTTTCCCTGACAACTTAGATTAAAAGTAAGTGAGTGCAAAAATTTGAAATCGGGCTCTCTAAGATAACGACCCGTTTCAAAAATATTCCCGAAACGTTAAATTAATTCAAATTATTTATAAAAAAACCAATGGTATAAATCACTATCTAATATAAAAAATAATAATCACTAACTGATATCACACACATAGATGCATATAATATATATATATATATATATAGGGTTTCTGTATTCAAAATGTAAACCAAAGAACTGAATCTAGAGTACTATGGCCTTTGTATGTCCAATACCTTCCTTCCTTCCTCAATTTCACAAAAGGTATCATCGGGCTTTGTGATTTTGATCCAACTCCTTTGTTGGACTTCTCTCTTTCCCCCACTCATATCTTTTGGGCTTCCTTATTGGCAAGCCCATTTATGTATATTTCACAAAATTATAGTCTATTATTATGTCACAATATATAACCTATTGGTTGAGGATTACCACTTTTGCTTGCCGATGGAGAATGAGGTGGTGGTTGTGGTGGAGGATGGCGAGGTTGTGATAAGAGGATATTTAGAAGATTAAACTTTAAATGGTGTAATTAATTTTTAAGTTTAGTTACTATTTATCTATTCTTGAGTTTAAAGTCACTCTAAATATTTTTTTCTTTTTAATTTTGGCCATCAAAATCTATTTTTTTTTCAAATTTTAATTTATTGAGAATGTTTTTATGAACTTATAATAATGTCCTTTTGTTTATGTAAGTTTCATGTTATTTAAATCTTAAAATAATAGTTTTTCATAATTTTCTTTAAAAAAATTCATGCTAAACAAATATATTATGAAAATTTTATTTTTCTTTAATTCATTTCACCTTTCTTTTCTTTTTCTTTTTTTTTTTTTTTTTTTTTTGCTTTCTCTTTCCGCCATTAATTTCTTCTAACCAAAGGAGCCGTATGGTTCGAATTGCTCACTTACAACATTGAACAGAACTTGTACCAGCAAAGTTGTGAAAGAATCAATATATACAACTTATGTCTAGAAGTTATCCCATATATTAGGAATTAGAATTAGAATTAGAATTTGGATAAATTATAGTGACCTTTTCTAAAATTTGGACAAATTACACACAAGTATAGCGTTCAACCTATGCACAAAGGTGGTTCTTTTGAGATTGTGCACCATTGATTGTGATGTAGGATTAGTGTGACTCCTGTAAACTGTGACATGAAGGTGGATGTAAGGGTAGCACTGAGAAGTAACAGAGCATTGTAAAAAGTAATAATTTCAGTTTTTATTGATTTTATTGTGGGTTTGGTTAAGGAAAACTTGTAAATTTTGAGTCTTAGGGTGACAAAAGGGGATCAGGACTGGCTACACCCTGGGATTTTTGGACAAGTGGTGTTATTTGGGCATTCCGCTCAAATAGAAATTATTAGATGGTTCAGGTTCATTTGATACGTAACGGACCAGTTAAATTTAACGGACTGAATTTAAATAGTTTAGGTTCATTTGACACGTAATTGTCTGAATTTAACTGACCACCGTTGTTGAGATTTTTTTAACATATAAATACTATATTTTGGGGCCATTTTTTCAATCGAAAAGTCTAAATTGAATTGTTTCACCAAGTGTTTACGGGCCTAGACCATCACCAAACTGTGATGGGTCCCACATGCAATTACATGAGTCTGCAACTTCTAAATTTGTTCTTTTGAAGAATGTATTGCAATTGCAAGATTGCAACCGTTACAATGATGCAACATGTTAGACGAAGGTTAATATGGTAAGAAATTAGGAATGATGCAACATGTTAGAAGAAGGTTTATATGGTAAGAAATTAGGAATTGGGTAGGATTGTGAAGGTACGAGTTTAGGTTGGAAGATCAAAGAAATTAGTGGTTGTTCCAATGTTGCGAATAATGATAAAAAGGATAAACTAGACTGAACTCCAAGCTTAATTATACATCACATCAAAGTCGTGCATCTTGTTGAACTAACATCATCCCGTGTAACGGATTGACCTATGAAAGCTACATTTTTGAGTAAATATATGTTTTTACCATATTAGTAAAAAAAATTTATGTCCATAGGTCAAACCCATTATAAGGAAGTCAATGCAACAAAACTCATACTCCTTTGCTTAATTAGTTATGGTGTGTAATTAGTCCAAATCTCAAAAAAGTTTAGTGTAATTTATCATTTAAAAAATAGCACCTTTGCTTAATTAGTTATTATTGTTCGCCGTCCTTACACGATCATGCACGGTTAGGGCTTCTAAAAGGGTAGAAATTAGAATGGCTAGGGTTCTGAAAATGGGGTCTGATTATGATTTTGAAAGGCTAAATGTAATGCAACAAATTAAATGAAAGAAGGGACCACGGGACTACTGGTCCAGTTGGTACCTAAAAAACAAAAAAAAAAAAAAAAGTTGCGAATTCAAAGCCTAAATTGAGACAAGTTGTTACGTCAATCAAAGCGGTTCTAGCGTGCACTCTAAAAATTAAAGCAGAAAAAGAACAATTCCGATCAGTCTCAAATGGGGGAAGAGAGAAGGCTTCAGGACTACCCATCTTATAACCTAAGAATCTCGTAGTATCGTTGCAAGCCTCTAATGCTGGCTTCACATCTACGATAAGCAAGTTAATGGGGCTGGTGCGTGCCGAATAGAACGGTCCATCAAGCCATTTTCCCCTCAATGCCACTATTACAAAATGAAATCAATAACAAGAAAAAAAGTAACCGTGAGTGTGCGCATCATTAGAATTAAAAATTAAGAATCACATTAGACAATGGCAGAATCAGGAATTTTGTTCGATGGGGCAACTAATAATATGATAAGAAATTTTGAATTAAAAAATTAAGAATAGCAACCGAGGGGTTTTTCTTAATTTTGATTTTTAAAAAAATTTTGCGAAGCTTTGCGAGAGGAGAGAAAACTTGAGTCTTGAATTTTGAAATAAATTGTTGAGAAAATGAGTTAGAAAATGAGAGGTCTTTGTGAATTTTGGATGTTTTTCTTATGTTTTTTTATTTTATGAATTTTTTTAGGTGCTCAATTTGGGCAACTTTTATAATTATTAAGATTTCTATATAGAAAATAAAAAATCAACAACAAATGAGGAGTCTTTTCTAAATTTTGAGAATTTTGAGAAACTTGTTGGGCAAATGAGTTAAAAAATAAGGGGATAATTTCACTGACACCCCCAATAGTTTGGCCAAATATCAATCTAAAATATCTTTTGAAAATAACTATCACTTAGGTCCATTTTCACTTTTCCGTTACTGCCTCCTTAAAAACATGAAAAAGACATGTTTGCCCCTAATTTTTTTAATCACATTTATTCAAAAACATTAAATAATGGAAATGACTTCTATACCCCTACACACAGTATATCTCTCTCCTCCATCTCTGTATGAAGGGCCAGCTCTTCCCTAAAATTCTGTTGCCCTTTCAGAATTATTTATGCATACTTTATTAAAACCATTGGGAAGATTATTTTGTCCGAGCTGCCAACTAAATTTTGTTCAACACTGCCAATAACTTGTTTGATCTATCTTACCAGCTACTGGAGTTAAGCGAAATCTAATGCCAATGCAAAATTATGAAAGCTATCTTTGTGGATAATTATCGATTTTTGACCATTCTTCAATACAGTGAGCTGAAGTTAATTTTCTTACAAGTATCTGTTTCAGTGGATACGTCCCTCTTTCATCTAAAAAATTCTTAGCATACACACAATGACTATGAGGTCTGGATCTGGATCTAGATCCCAATTATATATCGGATCTTCATAAGTATCCTGAGCAATTGTAGTATAAAAATCTTCATCTAATTCATCATTGTCTGTCAAATTGTCCGACGAACATAGCGAAGGGGAAGACGGAGGAAACAACGCCGACGGAATGGGATTATCAGAAGATGAAATAGTGTGGCTGTTCGACTTCGATCAACGTTAGCGACTTTGACGATTCTGGGCAAATTGCGGCGAAGAAGATTTTTGGGGCGAAAACGAAATTGAGAGATGAGGTATGTAGAAATCTGATGAGCTAAGGATATGATGGTGTTGGGTAGGAATTGATTTGTGTCGTTAAGGACGTTTAGAGCAAGCGATTTGATGGAATCACCAGATAAGAGCCTTATGCGCTCGAAGGTAACAACCTTCTCTGAATTTCCGGTGATTTCTTCTTGTTGGTGGTTAATGGTTATGAATTTGTTACTGATACGGAACATGAAAAGCGCTTTACCCTCCATAACTCCGTTCTTACGGAGCTTCTCATTCCATCTGAATACACGCACTTTTCTGCAATGAGCTTCTTCACTCAGACTCACCATTTCTTGCACTCCGTGTTGATCCGATCCACTAACGAAAACTCCATTGCCAATTCATTATTCTTCTTCGATTTGCTGGAGATCAAGAACAGAGACATCAGTGTTCCTCTGTACACGATCAAAGAGAGTGTCAAACACTCTATATGGTTTATTGTGTTTATGAATTTTTGTATTATTATTATATATATATTTTTTGGTAATTAATCAATTTTGGGGAAACCAAACCCATTAATTGTTTCTTTCAATTTATTAATCAGGTATTTACAGAATGATTTGGGAATTCTAGTATTGGAGTTTATGGTTTATGGCACCAATTAGTTATGTATAGAAAGTGTATATGTTGTGGTATATGATAGAGAGGGAAAGAGACGAAGATGAATTAGAACGATGAAGAAAAAAAATTAAATATAAATATAAAATGACATAAATAGACTTCAATTCATATGCTA